GGCACAGAGGGACACAAAGGGCACAGAGGGGCACAGAGGGGCACAGAGGGGCACAGAGGGGCACTGAGGGGCACTGAGGGTCATCCAACACCCATCCACCTCCTCTCTCTGAACTCTGTCCTGCTGCCCTCCAGACTTACAGGCACAGCAAGCACAGGGAGGAGGTTTTGGGGTCAGGAATTTGGGCAGGATGGTTCTGGGATGTGTTTCCATCACCCAAACCCTCACCGAGAGAAACCCCCATGTCCCCCCTGACTCTTCCCTCCTCTCCATGAGCTCCTCCCCTCTGCTCCCTCCCGCAGCACGGGGTGATCGTGGCACAGAGAGGCACAGAGGGGCACAGAGAAGCACAGCGAGGCACAGAGGGGAACAGAGGTTCATCCAACACCCATGTCCTGCTGCCCTCCAGATTTACAGACACAGCAAGCACAGGGAGGAGGTTTTGGGGTCAGGAATTGGGCAGGTTGAGTCAGGGATGTGTTTCCATCACCCAAACCCTCACCAAGAGAAGCCACCATGTCCCCCTGACTCTTCCCTCCCCTCCATGAGCTCCTCCCCTCTGCTCCCTCCCGCAGCACCGGGTGATCGTGGCACAGAGGGGCACAGAGAGGTACAGAGGGCACAGAGGGGCACAGAGAGAGAGCAGAGAGAGGCACAGAGGGGCACACAGGGACACAGAGGGCACAGAGGGGCACAGAAGGGCACAGAGGGGCACAAAGGGCACAGAGAGGCACAGAGGGGAACAGAGGTTCATCCAACACCCACCCATCTTCTCTGCCTGAACTCTGTCCTGCTGCCCTCCAGACTTACAGACACAGCAAACACAGGGAGGAGGTTTGGGGGTCAGGAATTTGGGCAGGACAGTTCTGGAATGTGTTTCCATCACCCAAACCCTCACCAAGAGAAGCCCCCATGTCCCCCCTGACTCTTCCCTCCTCTCCATGAGCTCCTCCCCTCTGCTCCCTCCCGCAGCACGGGGTGATCGTGGCACAGAGGGGCACAGAGGGGCACAGAGAGGGCACAGAGAGGGCACAGAAGGGCACAGAGGGGCACAGAGGGACACAGAGGGCACAGAGAGGCAGAGAGGGCACAGAGGGTCATCCAACACCCATCCACCTCCTCTCCCTGAACTCTGTCCTGCTGCCCTCCAGACTTACAGGCACAGCAAGCGCAGGGAGGAGGTTTTGGGGTCAGGAATTGGGCAGGTTGAGTCAGGGATGTGTTTCCATCACCCAAACCCTCACCAAGAGAAGCCCCCATGTCCCCCCTGACTCTTCCCTCCCCTCCATGAGCTCCTCCCCTCTGCTCCCTCCCGCAGCACGGGGTGATTGTGGCAGATGAGGAGGAATATTTCATCGAGCCCCTGAGCCCCGGGGCCAACGTCAGCGTGGGCAGCGAGGCCAAGGGCAGCCCCCACGTCGTGTACAAGCGCTCGTCTCTGCAGTACCCTCACATGGATGCAGCCTGCGGGGTGATGGGTAGGTGCTCCCAAATTTTCCTCCTCAATCCCAAAACAGGCTGGGAAAATCCTGGCAGACCCTGCTCCACGTGGCAAAGAAGCAAATTTATCTTCTGAATTCAAAATTTGGCTGTGTTTGGTTTTACCCGTTTCTAGCAGCCTGGGCTTTGGGAAGAAAGCAGGAGCTTCCTCCTTCTGGCTTTTTAAAATTTGTAAATTGGGCATGGAATAGAAGAGGGAAAAAAGCGCCCAAACTTTTTTTTTTTTTCAGAATACTCCCAGATCTGGCCAATTTAGTGTTGGGAAATCGCAGCTCAGGCGTGTCCAGCACGTCCTCAGCTTTGGGGTTTGGTCACTTTGGGTCGTGTCTGTGCTGGGGTCACTCTGCTCCTGCAGGGATCTGGGGGAAAAAGTGCCTTGAGGGGGGGATGTGGGGTGTGCTCAGTCCTGGGGGATGTTTAGGGAATGTGGTGACTGCACATCAACCCCATTTCTGCACCTACAGGGTTTTGACCTCCAAAAGGGGTCACAAAGCCTGTCCTGGCCTGTCCCTGTGTCCTTCTGGTCTGTGCCCTTCCCACCAGGCTGGCCCAGAGGCTGAAATCCCTGTGAACAGTTTTTAATCATTAAAACCCCCACTACTTACAAAAACACAAACAAAAGATCAACTAAACTAAACAGAAGAAAAAGTTTTCAGCACTAAATGTCCTAGCACANCCTGCGGGGTGATGGGTAGGTGCTCCCAAATTTTCCTCCTCAATCCCAAAACAGGCTGGGAAAATCCTGGCAGACCCTGCTCCACGTGGCAAAGAAGCAAATTTATCTTCTGAATTCAAAATTTGGCTGTGTTTGGTTTTACCCGTTTCTAGCAGCCTGGGCTTTGGGAAGAAAGCAGGAGCTTCCTCCTTCTGGCTTTTTAAAATTTGTAAATTGGGCATGGAATAGAAGAGGGAAAAAAGCGCCCAAACTTTTTTTTTTTTTCAGAATACTCCCAGATCTGGCCAATTTAGTGTTGGGAAATCGCAGCTCAGGCGTGTCCAGCACGTCCTCAGCTTTGGGGTTTGGTCACTTTGGGTCGTGTCTGTGCTGGGGTCACTCTGCTCCTGCAGGGATCTGGGGGAAAAAGTGCCTTGAGGGGGGGATGTGGGGTGTGCTCAGTCCTGGGGGATGTTTAGGGAATGTGGTGACTGCACATCAACCCCATTTCTGCACCTACAGGGTTTTGACCTCCAAAAGGGGTCACAAAGCCTGTCCTGGCCTGTCCCTGTGTCCTTCTGGTCTGTGCCCTTCCCACCAGGCTGGCCCAGAGGCTGAAATCCCTGTGAACAGTTTTTAATCATTAAAACCCCCACTACTTACAAAAACACAAACAAAAGATCAACTAAACTAAACAGAAGAAAAAGTTTTCAGCACTAAATGTCCTAGCACARAACAGAAAGAAAAAATTAMACATAATCCACCCYTAGAATCTTCACTACAGTAACRGCATAAAGRTATCACTATCTCTCTACCTTAAAAAACAACTTWATACTTGTTTTGCCCATTGTTTTCTCCCAATTARTAATCCAAATTTCTCCCCACAACCTGTCAGGCACCCAGGAGGGCACTCCATGGGTTTAGGGGTGCTCTGGGAGGGTGAGGGGAGGTGCCACCCCTGCAGAAGGGACAGTTGGGGTTTTTGTGGCTCAGTTGGTGGCTGCAGAGCAGAGCTGGCCCTGGCTTTGTGTCACTTCAGGATGTCCATCCACTGCCCTAGCAGTGACACTTCACCAGATGAGGAAGGGATGGACCCTCTGGGGACACCCAGGGCACTGCCACCCCCTCTGAGTGTCCCCAGAGCCACCCCAGCCCCCAAAGCTCCCTGGATCCTGCTGACTCTGCCCCATTCCCCAGCTCCCAAAAATCCTTCATCCCACTCTTCATTGCTCCTTGGAAAGCAAAGATGTGCAGGGAGAGCCAGAGGGAGTTCAGAACAACCACAGTGCAGTGACCAAAGCAGAGCCACCCTGATCCCTCAGCCCTCAGGCTGGGCCTGGCCTTGTCCCTGAGCACCCCTGGAGCTCTCTGTCCCTGTCCCTGTCCCTGTCCCTGTCCCTGTCCCTGTCCCATCCCTGTCCTTGTCCCTGTCCCTGTCCCTGAGCACCCCTGGGAGCCTGGGCACAACCCTGAGCTGTACCGGGGGCATTTTTGGGTCCTCTCCATGGCTTTTCCTTCCCTTTTGTTAGGAAAATTGATCCACAAACACCAGACATTTGTGTCCAAAAGGAGACAGAGGAGTNGGGGCATTTTTGGGTCCTCTCCATGGCTTTTCCTTCCCTTTTGTTAGGAAAATTGATCCACAAACACCAGACATTTGTGTCCAAAAGGAGACAGAGGAGTTCTGTAACTTTATTCAAATAAAGCGAGAGGCCATGGGACATTTCCATGGGGTCTCTCAAATTGTTGGAGGACACAGCCTCCTTTTTATCCCAATTTCCCGACTGCATTTTTCTCTCTCTTTCCACATTGGCTGAGGGATTTGGGAGGTACAGAATTCCCGAATCATCTGATACAGACCCCATCTAATGTGCATCCCCTCCCCTTTATTTTTTCCTTTGTGTCCCTATTCTTTTTCTCTCAGTCCAGGGATTTAGCCTGCCTTGGGTCAGTACCAGTCTGTCTCAATTGATGGAATCCTATGGAATTTATGGTTCCTCCCATTGCCCCTTTCACCCATCAATATCTGACCTCATCTCCCTGAACACCCGATGATTTATTTGTAAAGTCATTGCTCACTCTCTGTTGCGAGCTCCCACCCCAGCACCTCAGAACCATCACCCCGTTCCCTCCTCAGACGAGAAGCCCTGGAAGGGGCGGCACTGGTGGCTCAGGACCCTCAAACCATCCCCTCTGAAGCCCTCGGGCAACCACAGCCAGCGGGGCCAGCTGCCCCTCAAGAGGTCGGTGAGCACCGAGCGCTACGTGGAGACGCTGGTGGTGGCCGACAAGATGATGGTGGGCTACCACGGCCGCAGGGACATCGAGCAGTACATCCTGGCCATCATGAATATTGTAAGTGTTACACCCGCACCGGGAGAGCGCCATCCGAAAAGTTTTTCTGCCTTTTTTTCTTTTGCCTTTCCCTTTTCTGGAAAAGGGTTTTTTTTTCCAGCAAGGAGCGGGGTGGGGGAATTAGATCAGTTCCAGGTTGGTAGCGGGTTCTCTCCGGGCTCAGAGCAAGGTTTTGGGGTTGGAAATCCTGCGGGGCTGCTGCCAGAGCCTGGAGAGGTGAATTCGGGCTCGTGTGGCCGTGCCGCAGCCGGATCCGGGCCGCCGGGACAAAAGATTTTCTTTTCTTCGATCAGCATCTCCTCCCAAATTCGCATTGCAAATGTGGCCGGGAGAGCTGGGAAACACGTGGGAAAGGGTCGGGACAGGCGGTGCTCATGTGTGGGGCTGAGAGGGAGAGGGGCCGGGAGAAACCCCCCGAACTGCAGAAATCAAAACCCCCGAGCTGCGGAAATCAAAAAACCCCGAGCTGCAGAAATCACCCTGAGCTGATGAAACCCCCCCCCCCCTCGAGCTGCAGAAATCAATCCCCTCGAGCTGCAGAAATTAAATCCCTGTGAGCTGCAGAAACCCCCTGAGCTGCAGAAATTCCCCAGAGCTTCTCGGGGGAAAATCAGTCCCCCCGAGCTGCAGAAATCAAACCCCCCGAGTTGCAGGAACCTCTCGGAGCTACAGAAACTCCCCCGAGGAAAGAAATCTGAGGAAATAAATCCCCAAGCTGCAGAAATCAATCCCCCAGGCTGCTGAAACCCCCCGAGCTGCAGAAATCAAACGCGTCCCCGAGCTGCAGGATCTGCCCCCCGAGGTGCTGAAATACCCCTGAACTGCAGGAATTAAATCCCCCTGAGCTACAGGAGCCCTCTGAGCTACAGGAATCAATCCCCCTGAGCTGCAGAAATCAATCCCCCCAAGCTGCAGAAATTAAACCCCACCGAGCTGTGCCCTTCCCAATTTCCGATGGATTCCGTGCCCTTCCCGTTCGATTCCGTGCCACTCCCGATTCCCAGGGGATGGGGTGACATCCCTGATTCCCGATGGATTCTGTGCCCTCCCCAATTCCCGATAGATGCTATGTCCCTCCTGAATTCCCGATGGATGCCATGCCCTCCCTGATTGCCTAGGGATACTGTGGCCATCCCAATTCCCGAGAGTTGCTGTACCCTCCCTAATTCCATGCCATTCCCAATTCCCGAATCCTGCTCTGCCCTTCCCAATTCCCAATTCCTGCTGTGCCCTTCCCGATTCCTGGAGATTCTGTGCCATTCCCAACGGATTCTGTGCCCCTCCCTCAGCAAATCTCCATCCTCGGAGCCTCACAAAGCGCCCGGAGTGGGGGCTGCCCCACCACAGCCACTGCGGGATTTTGGCTGCACTGCTCTCAGACATCGAGCTCTGAACGGGGTTTAGGGGATTCTGCAACCCAAATGAAATCCCAAACCCATCCCTGCTTCCCAAAAACGCTGAGTTCAGACCCCAGCCCCGATTCCCTGCAGTCCCCAGCCCTCCCTGGCCGCAGAGCTCATTTTTAAGACTCCTCTTTTCTTGTTTCTTGGAGGTCAGGTTGCCAAACTTTTCCAGGACTCGAGTCTGGGCAATATTGTCAATATCCTGGTGACCCGGCTGATCCTGCTCACCGAGGATCAGGTAAGCCGGGCTCTGCTGAGCCGCTCCTGCCATCTGTGCACTTCCCGTGAGGATCTGTGTGTCCCCTGGGATGTCACTCCCAGAAATTCCCTTGGGCTGCTCCACATAGTTCCAACACTGCCTGGGTAGAAGAGACCTCTGGGAATCTGATTTTTTTTCTATGATTAGGCAATTTTAGGAAGGTTTAAGTAGCTTTAAACCTCCTAAAGTCTCACTTTTCTTGCTGTCCTGTGAGGAATTGGAGGCATCTGGAATGGTGTCATGGAATTGGCAGATCCTTCTTGTCAGAGCTTTCCTGGGAACATGCTGCTCTCAATTTCTGCATCTGAATTTATTCAGGGGGAGGGTTATTCCTGCATCTCAGGTTTATTTCCTGCAGTTTATTCCTTTTTTTTTCCCTCTGCTTCCATTCCAGCCCACGCTGGAGATCAACCACCACGCCGGGAAATCGCTGGACAGTTTCTGCAAGTGGCAGAAATCCATCGTCAACAGGAACGGCAACGGCAACGCCATCCCCGACAACGGCATCGCCAACCATGACACGGCCGTGCTGATCACCAGGTGAGCACTGTCACTGTCCCCTCGGGGTGGCACTGTCCCCAGGCTCTGATCACCAGGTGAGCACTGTCACTGTCCCCGCGGGGGTGGCATTGTCCCCTGGCTCTGATCACCAGGTGAGCACTGTCACTGTCCCCTCGGGGGTGGCATTGTCCCCAAGCTCTGATCACCAGGTGAGCACTGTCACTGTCCCCTCGGGGCTGGGTGGCACTGTCCCCAGGCACACTGTCCCCTCAGGAGGTGGCAGCTGTCCCCAAGCTCTGATTGATCACCAGGTGAGCACTGTCCCTTCGGGGTGGCACTGTCCCCAGGCACACTGTCCCCTCGGGGGGGGATGGCAGCTGTCCCCAGGCTCCAATCACCAAGTGAGCACTGTCCCCTCGAGGGTGGCATTGTCCCCAAGCTCTGATCACCAGGTGAGCACTGTCCCCTTGAGGGTGGCACTGTCCCCAGGCTCTGATCACCAGGTGAGCACTGGGGGTGGCAGCTATCCCCTGTCCCCAGGCTCTGATCACCAGGTGAGCACTGTCCCCTCGGGGATGGCAGCTGTCCCCAGGCTCTGATCACCAGGGGAGCACTGTCCCCTCGGGGTGGTGGCACCTGTCCCCAGGCTTGCTCCTCCAATGCTTCCCGGTCTTCCATCGATGAGGATTATTGCAATTCCTGTGGTTAGCACCCTCCACTCTGGGTTTCATCACTCTCCAGTCCTCCCCTGGTGTTTGACCGGCTCTCAAGGAGCTCAAATGGCAGCCACGGGGTGGTTCTGCCCCAAAAGGGCACCTGGGCAGGTGTGGGAATGCACCCTGGAACCCCGGAGCTCCCTGCTGGGGTGGAGAGCGCTGTCAGCCTCTGCTCTGAGAGGGGAAGAGGATTCCAGAGGGATCTCAGGACAGTGACCGGCTCCAGCCAGCCCAGGGCGTGGCTCAGCTCATTTTTGGTGCCTCCATGGGGGGGCTGGACCCTTGGAACCCCTGGATCAGACCCTGAGAGCTGTGTTAGGGGGTCTGAGCTGCCACGGGTGGGGCAAAAACCCATCAGAACCGATGGGTGCTTGAACATGGGGTGGCAGAGGTGTGGGATGGATGGATGGATGGATGGATGGATGGATGGATGGATGGATGGATGGATGGATGGATGGATGGATGGATGGATGGATGGATGGA